TCACAAAGTGAAATCCCGAACAAAAACCCCTGAAGTACAGGACTACGTCTTTTTCAGGGATTCTTGGAGCCTGCTTCGGCCTTCTGGAGAGCAGGGTTACATTTGGCCTAGATAGAAAATCTGAGTGCACCTGTGCGCCGTGTCTGCAAGCTCTTACCTAGCTCTCAGGCCTTTGTGGTTGTTATTCTACCCCAGACCATTAAAAGGGCCCTAATTCCTATGACATGATTATCCAGGTACCAAAGCCCATTTGTCACCTGCAGCAGAAAATTGAGTTAATGCACAACTAAAGGCAGCCAGGACTGTGTAATATCAACTTGATTACATCAAACTAGCTGCAAACCTAATTCTGCTGGATGACACTGCGTCGAGCTTGTCATCTCCAATCATTAAAGCTGTCAGGAATCCATCAGGTTTACAGCTAATTAGGTGAACACTAATGAAGCTGGCAAAACAACTTTTCTTTTTTTATGGCTGAGCGGACCTTTCAGTTTGGAGGGGAAAAAAAAAAATTCTCGAGTATTCTCAAGGTTGCTGGGGACTGGATTTCCAGTTACCAATCAGCAGACATCTTTCTTTCCCCCACTCTCTATCCGTACAAAGCAATCAATTTGTCATCACTCCCAGTATGCCACAAAAGCAGGCACGAACCTTCTAACTTGCAGCTGTGAGAAATAAAAAAGAAGGGGGAAAAAAATGGCAAGTTTCTTGTCTACCCCAACAAACAAACAAAAAACATAAAACAAAACAAAAAAAAGCTCACACAGTTCACTTATTGGCCTGTGCATACTTATCACCAGCCTAAATAGGAAGGTTTTTTTTTTTTCTTCCTCCACTCTTCTTAAATAAGTAGCCCTTCAGTCATTCTCCACCCCCTCCTCCACATGTCCATTAGGCAGAGGCATTCTGATAAAGTAAATCCAAAACCAGGGTATGGGAAAGAAAAAAAGCACTCACGCTGCCAACTTCTGATTGACCATTAAGCTATTGATGAATGTGCCTGTCAGGAGAGAGACAATTAAATCAAATATGAAACAAAGTCGTTTTGACGGGTCATTTTGATAGAGCAAAACCATTCTTCCATCTCCTATTAAGTCCTGCAGTCAAGATTTTATATAATGAATTTTCCTTAACTGACCTGAGATTTCCTGACTGGCTTTTTAAAAGGTGCAAAAAGGTTAGTGAACAGGTTGCTTTAAAAAGAGAGAGAGAGAGAGAGAGAGAGAGAGAGAGAGAGAAGAAGGAGGAGGAGGAAGAAATCAAACCAACAGTATGCTTCCTCCTTCTCTAATATTTTTAGAAGAAAGTTATCAAGTCAGAGTCTCAGATTGGCAGGGTGGAACAGAAGAGATGAACTGTGGAGAGAGTTCTAAACCAAATGTAAAGATGTAATCACATATGGTTCGTTTGATTGAGGCACACAGATACCTTAAAATGTCTATCCAAAAAGGAAAGAAAAAAAAATTTTCAAAGACTGGAAGAAGCCCAAGACATTCCTACTCCCCAACTTTGTAAAAGATTCCTCCGAAGTTTCAGAGTTTATTTTGGGTAGATAAGCTCATTGCTTGGGCTTGGAATTTAAAGTAGAAGGTGGGAAGGGCAAGAAGCATCTGAGGAGAGGAGGTGAGCTGGGAGGCAGGCGGCACTCTCCCTACCATCACTACTGGGGTTTTCAAACTTTCTAAATTTGGGCAACGCTGAGGACGGAGAGCAAAACCTGCACTATCTGCTCCAAACCACGTCTGTTTTCTTCTAAAGACTCTGAAGGCACTGACTGACAGGGGAGTGCATTGCTGGGAGAAGAAAGATGATCATTCCCTCTCTGTGACCCTGCGTAAGGAGAGTGGAGTACAGAGTGGAGCCCATGTGTGAAATCCAGGGGCAACGCTGGCTGGCACCAAGGAAATTACCACCACCGTGTTACTACTGCGGGCACCAAGGGCATAGTTCCTTCATCCAAGAAGGGGACCATTCAATGCCCTGAGCCTCCCTGCCGCCCTCCCCTCTTCCATCCAAGAAATAATAAATACATATAGAAAAGAAGAGAAAAAGAAATGAACCCCCACTTCGCCCTCCCTCTGAGGCAGCATCTGAACCTCTGCACATGTGAATGTTACTCATATCAAAATACATCATGTCCATATGTGGTCCTCTCCGCAATCTGCCCCAAATCCCCGAAGTTGCACTGACAGGGCCCTCCTGACGTCACAGAGCTTGGCCTCACTACTGCAAGTGATTTATTGATGTTTATTGGGAATGAATAGATCAAAGGCAGCAGCATGACTGGCGATCAATCAGTCATCAAATCAAGGGTGGCAATGGGCCAGAAACCCTTCTTCCAGACAACATACCCCCAACCGACATTATTGCAAAATAATGTTATGTGTGTGGGTTTTGTTTTGTTTTCAATGATGCTTTTTCCAAAGGAAAAAAAAAATCAGTTCAGTCTTAACTGGAGTCGACACTCCTGGCAAAAAGGAAAGAAAAAAGAAAAGAACAGAAGGGGGGGAAAAGTACTCAGACACGTCCCAGAACTAAGTGCTAGGAGGAGAAGGGGGTGGGAGAAGCAGTGGATGGAGAGGTGGGGGTAAAGGAACACAAACAGGGGTGAAATAAACGCCAGCATCTAACACTGACTTGACAGTCATCTGACAATACCCAGACCCTGTGCGCTCCGGTTTCCACCGCCGTGCCCGGTTTGGGCCCAATATATGAAGAATCAATTGGATTAGCAGTAGGGTGGCCAAAGGGACCGACTCGCTCGCTCACTCGCTCTCTCCCTCTCGGCAGACACCGGGCAGTTCCCGCTGGCCAGCGCGGGAGGACGCGGAAGGTGTCCCGGGGAACTCAGGTGACCCCGCCCGCCCCCCACAGAAAGAGACAGACAGGGCTTCTCCCCATTCCCTCCGCAGCCAAGGGGCAGAGGCAGGG